GAATCAACACAATTCATTTTTCTAATTTCTCTTGAAAAGTTTCTTTAGTTTTCTCTCTTTTAGATCTAGCTTACGGTTCTTATAGGTCTTAGCCATCTTAGCTAAGATACATAATTTTCTTGTAAGTTTCATCTGTAAATTTTTCTATGTCAATACATGGTGGTTTGATTATAGATTTCTACATAATATTTTAAGACCGAGCAATCAACGTGACAATAATTTAATTATTCAAATAAAATAAAAAGTCAAAAACATGATTAGGAGGGAGGAATCTACATTAAGACAGGATCCACCAAGAATCAAGGGCTATGGTTTCCTTCTCATCATGTACTTTCATTCACTGTATCCCTACTAGTTGTAAGTTGCAACCCTCCCTCCTCTCCTCTTCCATTACATCTTCCTCTTGAGCCGAATAACCGGGTGATTTAAAGTGAGATCCGTAAGTAGAGATCTGGACCTTTGATTCCAAATTCATCCCACTTGAAACGGGGATTGATCTGGTACATCTCATTTTAATATGCATCCAAGGATGATGATCTCTTCTTATGTTTCTCACATTAACTCTTATTCTCATTAAAACCAATCCCTTAGTGTTGATAAGGTCGTCATATAACTCTTGTCCACAGCAGAAGCGTTTTATTTTTCACTCCGAAGGATCATGGAATGAAAATTTACAAATTAGCGAGTGATTTATTTTCTTTGTGAAATATAGGTATTACTATATACGCACATTGATATAAAAAAATAATTCAAAAAAAATTAATTATAGTTGATATGACATTTTAATAAATTTGAATATATCATACAAGTATAAAATGATATTATATTATTTTATTAAACAATTAAATATTTTTCAAATAGACACGGTTAAATTTCTACGTTAATTAATAAATAATTATGCGTTGTATTCTTTTCTTTATCGATTTATTAGAACATCTTTAATAGTTATGTTAAAATAGAGAAAAAAATATTTTAAAATTTTTGTTGTTCCAATATCTATGCTATCCTCTATGCTTAAATAGAAAAACAGAGGTGAGAGTATAACAAGGGTGGTGCCTGATTGGTTTGAGTTTGACTCCAAAAATTAAAAGTATTAGGAGGTTTTAGGTTCAAATCCAAGGAGAAATAAAAATCCCTTATGGCTACGGAGGTTCAAATGTGGTAACTTCGGGCTATCTGCAAAACATGTGGACGTCCTAGGATTAGTCGGCTCACATAGCGGTTATATATATATATATATATATATATATATATATATATATATAGAGAGAGAGAGAGAGAGAGAGAGAKGCACGTTCAAATGAAAACCGTGCATTTCTAAGAAACCGTGTAAACCAATTTCGACCAATAGGAAAATTCCATTTTTTAATTAAATTTAATCAATAAGGGTATTTCGGTCATTTATAATATTTTTATATTAAATATGAAAGTTATTAATAAATATTAAATAAGAAAACGATATAAAAAAATTGTATAAATGATAACATTTAAATATTTTATTATATTATAATATTAAAATTTTGATTTTAATATATTGTTATTAAATTGAATCTGGAAACGTGTGTTGAAGATTCGATCACCTTAGGGAATGAAATCTTAATTTGAGGTTGAAATAAAAAATTAATGTTAATGAAACAAGTTCGTGATGGTGAAACTGGTTCATGTTCTAATTGATTCATGACTATTAATCTATTTTGATGGTGAACCACGTTTCATTGATGATGGAGTTGATCTGTTTAGTTGGTAAAATTAAAATGAAACGGGTGCATAATGTATTTGGTTCTTTATGAATTAAATGTATAATGAAACGGATACATGATGATTCTGCTTCGGAATCTTTGAAGATTATAATCTGCTTATGAATCTTGAAAATTGTGAGGATTAAAGGAAATAATGCATCGAATCAAAAGTGAAATAACATGTTTAATGTTAATGAAATAGGTTCATGAAAGTGAACTGGTTCATGTTCCAATTGTTTCATGACTATCGAACTAATTTCATGGTGAACCACGTTTCAGGGATGCTGTAGTGGATCCGTTCAGTAGATGTAACGTTTTAATGAAGATGAAACTGGTTCATGACGTAATTGAACAATAAGTTATGAACCGCTTTAATGGTGAAACCGTTTCAATGATGGTGTAGGTGATCCGTTCAGTAGATGAAATGGTAAATGAAACGGATGCATAATAAAGGCGATTCCTCATGAAATAATTTCACGATGAAATAACAAATGACGCATCAAACCATGAGTAAAATTTCATGTTTTATCATAAAATTCTATGAACGCAGTAAACAGTTAAGACAATGAAACTATTTCATGTAGTATTATAAAATTTTATGAACTCAGTAAACAATGAAAATTTTTCGTTATCTAAATTTAACGGATCCATCTACAAGTATAATGAAAATTACGAAATATAATCAGTATTACGTTGATTAGTTGATGAAATTTTGAAACCAATTTCGTTCATATAATGTAATTCAAATTTTGAAACGATTCATTATATAGAATTGAATATGGTGTGTTTTTTTTTTTTTTGATATATTTTATTGATGGATGTTATTTAAACGTAAAAATAATATATTGCTTTACAAAATAAAATAGTTTCATTTATAATGACATGAAGGATATTGTTGTCTTGAATGTAATGTATTTTTGTTTACCATTTTGCTCTTATTGCCGATATAAAATAAATCTTTAATATATGTATTTTTTTAATTTCTAAAATAAAGTAAACTAATCTTGACCATTGATTAAAAAAATGGATAGATGAGATTGATTTACACGGTTTACATAAATGAAGGTGATTTTCATTTGAATGCTCATATATATATATATAAAAGGTGAGAGATTGTAAAAATCTCTAAACTTAGATAAATCTAAAACTCTATGAAAAAAGAGAAAAAATAATATTTTAATTATATCCAACCAATTAAAACTATCGAAGTAACATGTGTAGGAGTGAAAAATAACATTTTATTAAATGTTTTAAATATTTTATTAATATAATTAATACTAAAATTACTAAAATAGAGTAATGTTGGAATTGGATTTTGATGTAATTTTTTTTAGAAATTTTAAATTTTCATTTTCATTTAATAAACATATGCCACTACTTATCACACCAAAAAATATGAAATAAATAAAAATCCAAGGAAAAATAAAAATTCTCTTGTGGTCACGGAGGTTCAAATGCGGTGACTTCAGACTATCTACAAAATAGGTAGTCGTCCTAATATTAGTCGACTCGCATAGCGGGTTGAATATCCAGATTAATATATATATATATATATATATATATATGAAAGAAAAATTAATGTTACAAATACTTTTTGTTCTCCAAAAATTAGCACATCTTATGTTTGAATTGCCTTAGAGACCTCCTCTTTTACATATATCAATTTTTAAATAGAGTAAATTACATTTTGATCATTGTGGTGGTCATTTATTATCAATTAGAATCTCTTTTTTTAAATTACAGTTTCGATTACTATGTTTGCCATTTTATTTCATTTTTATTTATTGTGGTTGTCATTTCGTTTCTATCATGGTCCATCTCATTAAATGTTGTTAAGTAAATCTTATAACTCAAGGATATATTTGGTCTTTTATTTTATTTTATTTTATTTCATTTTATTTTAATTTAAAATTATATATAAATGTAACACATATCAAGGGTTGGGTTGGGTATACATATCAAAGGTTTATCGGAATTTTCCATATATTAAATACTAATTTTTAGTTAAATTCTTATTAAATTTTATATCAAATTAAGACAAAGATGAGATCCAGACAAAATGGAAATGAATTTGATGCATTTGTTGTTTCATGTCGTTGTGTCGAAGACATAAACAGAAAATGACAAAATATGACGTGTCGTTTAACGGCTTCAATTAACGTCGTTTGACATAAACACCAGATGGTCAAGAATTCAAACAGAAAACGTTAAAAATATAAAAGTGGTTGTGGTCAGATAGTAATGATGCCTCACAAACAGAAACTGAAACTCAAACAGAAAAAAGTTCAAATTTCCACTGCACAAACAAGCAAAAGATTTTCTTTGCTTCTTTCAAAGCTTTACAGCCTCTCTTTCCATGGAGGTTTTCACCCGCCTACGATTTTACTAGGAGTAGTTAACTACATGAGTTAGTTTTTCACAGAACAAAATCTAAGTTGGTTATGCTTCAAATGCTGCTTCTGTTCTCCTCTTCAATTGAGATTCGTGGCTGATTGTTTGATGGAGCACTTCCAGATCTTGAAAGAACACAACATTCTGAAACAATTTAAACATAAATGAGTTAACACAATGGGAAAATTGAGTGATGAACTGGTAATTTGAGAAATTTATTGAGAATCGATGTAATTGTGGAATTGTTTGGTTTGAAATCATGTATTACCTTGTGAAGGTGAGTTGTATGATCTCTTGCAATGGAGTATGGCGTTTTGGATTCCATCCTGTTGCTCTAGTGCTGAATCATCACTCTTCGTCACCGGCGTTTGTAGGATTGCGGACGCCGAACGGCTCTTTCCTAAATGCTTACGAACCTCTCTGAACACGGCACCACGACCACCGCCTCTTTTTTCTTCCTTTCTCGGAGAGAATACTGATGAAGCCGGAGATGACGACGGCGTGACAGACTTCTCTGATAAATTCGACTTCTCGTTATTCCTCTTTGAAACCTTTACGTAAGACGGCTTCATTAGATTCAAATACTTGTTAACCACGTCCTTGGAGAAACGCTTTGAAGGCATCTGATCGTTTTCCAGAAGCTTCTCCGTCCTCAATTTCTGCCTCAAGCTGTTATCTCTTTTCAGCATTGAACCGATCTTAACCTCTTCGATCTCGCAGCTGGTTTCCTTCTTCTCCAATTTCGACTTGTTATTATTCTGAAACCCTAGCATGAAGGTTCGAAGAGGAGATTGAGGAGTTTTCGTATTGGTTGAATTGATAGGCAAAATCTTCCGCTTATTGTTCAAATAAACGTCACCAGGGGATGAAAACCTGAAACTCGAATTTGAATGACCGGCATCAACTTGGAAACCGCCAAAGCAAGAGTTATCGTCCTCATCAGCAGGGTTCGTGAAAACCAAATCGAAGAAGGATTCTTCATCGTCGATTGAGGAATCAAAGTCTCCGGTGACGGTTGGATCACCGGCAGCAGCGTTTCTCCAGAACTTGAGCAAGCTGAAAACATCCATGGTTGGGAAAGCCAGGGTAATTGATTGAAGGAAAAAGGTTGAGAGCTTTTAGCAGTGGTATAGAAAGTAAAGAGTAGAAGAGTGTGATGAGGCATTGGATTGGTAGAAGGTTGGTATATAAATGGAAGCACGTAAGCTCCGAATGAGGAGCATGTGATTCTCAACCGCGGCTACATGCCATGTATAAACATTAACGCATTTCCCTATACATATATACACGTATATAAATTTCCAATGACGTCGCTATTCTAAGCTATATCTATAGGGTGTTTGGGATTGATTATTTGAAACAATTTATGTTTTTTTACAAAAATAATTAACAACTTATTATAAGTGATAAGGGTTTACTTTTTCAAAAGCTCTTTATTACCGGTTTGACACCGATATAAGTTGTTTATCTACCAGTGTCATACCGAAATAATTAATAATTTTTTTTGTAAGCAATCTCAAACACTCCCTATATGTAATTATAGGCAAGACATTGTGTCAGAAAGAGAGTTAAGATGTGAAAATAAAAAAGAGATATAAAGTCTTAACCACCTTTAATTTTAAACTCACTCATGGATTTTGCCTGATATAAGGATTGATCCGATGCATCTCATTTTAATATGCATCTAAGGGTGGAGATCATTTGTTATGCTTGTCATTTTAACTTTCTTTATCATGGAAACCCACCCCTATACTTGTGTATGTGTAAGGTTGGATTTCGGTGAGAAACGTAAAAAGGGATCTCCACCCTAGATGCATATTAGGATGAGATGCACCGAGATGAACCGAATCAATTCATGTGTCAAGCGTGACTCATGAGTGTGTGAGATTAAAATTAACCAAGGATCGAGATCCCATATTACCTTTCCACCTTAAATCTTTTTCTCACACGATACTTTGTCTTTGTCTTTCTCTTATATTTATATATATATATATATATAGAGAGAGAGAGAGAGAGAGAGAGAGAGACTAGGAATCGTGTGAGAAATAAAGTTGTTGTGATACATGTAAGAAGAGACCATTTATTACTTTCAATCTTATGTCCACCTATGAATTGTGCTAGAAGGGAATTGATTTAGTGCATCTTGATGTACTTCATTAGTATTAACATTCATAAAAACTATTATCATAAGATATTGTTTCATATTATTGTGTTCATCCAAAGTTAGAATTTGATGTATTAATTAACATATATTTGTTTTATATGTATTTGATTTACAATGTGAAACATTTTAGTTGTATTTTTTGTTTCACAAGTACATAATTTTGTATCACATTATGAAACAAACATTTGTTAATTAATGCACTAAATTAAAGTCATAGATCAAAAAATAATATGTGAAACAATACATGATGTACGGGTTCTTACTGTTATCATAATTTTATAGGTTTTCAAATGAAAATCCCCTATATATAGTATTGATATTTATAAATACTAGAAGGGTACTCGCAATGCACCGAGATATATCTCGATTTTAATGTTTTGTTTATTCCGTCCTAGTAAATGTTTTAATACGGTTTTTATGTGGTTTTGAGAAAGAGATAATATTTTTTTTAAATAAAATATAAATTTGAAGATATCATAAAATTTCGAAAATAAATATATCAATATTAGAATCAAATTAAGTATTTAAATGTTCTTGTTTTTATGTAATTTTTTTAATTATAGTTTAATTTAGATTTAATAACGAAATAATTTTTTTATAAAAACAATAATTAAGTATTCTGTTATAACTTAATAATTATCTTAATCATATTTTATATTTTCTATACTTAAAATGAAAGGTTTATTTTGCATTTGACTATGTTTATCTGTAGTTAGTTACACTTATTCAAACATAAATCTATAATAAGTTGTACTTACGCACAATTTATTTGTAATATTAAATTTTAAATAATATGCATCAATAAATGGTACTTCATTCATAAAAAATTATTTTTAAAATTTTTTGTCAAATACTTTATAATATGATATAGATATTGATTTTGATTTAAGTTTCTATTGTATTGATTTTTTTATTTGTTTTATAATATAATTTTTATTATTTAATAAATGTTTCTTTTATATAATAAAAAAATATTAAGTTGTCGTGAAAACAAAAGATATGAATATAAATTGTAAAGTTATTAAATATAAATGTACTATTGAAAACAAATTAAAAGATATATATATATATACACAAAGTTATCATGCTGTATACAACATGATAACTTTGTGTAAAAAATAGTCTTTATCAATCGGATTATACTTGATGTTTATACCAAACAATGAATTTGATGCTATCCATTGAAAATGGTTTTAAAACTGGAGGCGTGAATTATATACATCTTATTCTATATTCTGAAATTTTGAATTTGTTTTATACAGTTTGGTTTTTAAATAATAAATGTTATAATCTTCGAAATGAAGAGGCTGTTAGAGTTGATTGTAATTTTTTTTTTTTTTTTTTGAGATTTTGAATTTCAATTTTGAAGTAATTTTTAAAAAATATATTAAAAATGCTTTAAAAAAAAGAGAAAGAAAAGGAAAAGTGAGAAGAAAAAGCGAAGGGGGGGGGGGGGGGGGGTATTTATGGTCACTTTTGATACAACAATTCACCATTATGTTTTTTGGATTTATTTTGGTACCGTCTTAATCAAAACATTAATTAAATCAGATATTTTTCATGGATATATTCCCTTCAAAGCTCTACCAACAATTCATTATCATTGGTGTCACTCTTTCTTACATTCATTCCGATATTAATCTATATTATATTATAAAGTATTTGATAAAAAAAAATTCTTAAAAACTACTTTTTATACATACAATACTGTATATTGATGCATATTACTTAAAATTCGAAATTACAAGTAAATTATGCATAAATACAACTTATTAAAGCTCGATATTTGAATTCGTATAACTAACTGCGGATAAACATAATCAAATAGAGGATAAATATCTCATTTTAAAATATAAAAAATCTAAAATATAATTAGGATAATTATTGAGTTCTAACAAAATAATTTATTATTGTCTTTATAAGAAAATTATATTATTAAACCAAATATAAATTACTTCATTATTGTACCTAAATTGAATTATAAAAAAAATTGAATTAAAAAATTACACAAAAATGAGGAATTTTAAGTAATTAATTTGATATTAATATCGATATATTTTTGTCAAAATTTTATGATATCTTCATATTTATATTTTTATTCAAAAATAAATATATCATCGCTTTCTTAAAATCAAATAAGATCATATTATAACATCGACTGAGATAAAGAATAAAATAAAATATCAAAATCAAAATATATATCTCGCTGTATTACGCGAATACAGTTATTTAAAAATAAGTGAAGGGGTTCATATATTTTAGGTTAATAAAAATAATATTACTGAAAAAAGACAAATGAAATGATTTTGATATTTCAAAAAATAAAAGAAAGAGTATGGGTATAATATATAGAAGAAAGGTTCGACCTTGTGTTGTCAAGCTTTGTTATATTATTCGGATGTTTGTATAATATAACGAGATATATCTCAGTTTTAATGTTTCGTTTTATTATTTATGTATGAAGATATAATACGGTTTTCAATGGTTTTGAGAAAACGATAATATTTTTATTTTTGAATAAAGTATAAATTTAAATATATCGTAAAAATATGAAGAAAAAACTATATATTGATAATAGTATCAAATTTTACTATTTAAAGTTCTGGTTTTTGTGTAATTTATTTAATATATAATATTTTATTTATAATTTAATTTAATTTAGATTTAATAATAAAATAATTTATTTATCGTTTAATAATATAATTTTTATAAAAATAATACTAAGTATTTTGTTATAACTAATAATTATCCTATTTATAGACTTATAGTCTAGATTTTTTGCATCCAAAATAAGATGTATATTTCGTATTTGATTATTTTTATCTGTAGTTAGTTATACAAATTCAAAAATTAATTTTAATAAGTTGTATTTATGTCAAATTTACTTGTGATTTTGAATTTTAAGTAATATGTATTAATAAACAATATTTTACACATAAAAAATAATTTTTAAAAGTTTTTATCAAATGTTTTATTATTATTCAAATATAACCCAAACCCAAGCCCATATATTTTTTACCAAGAAGCCCATAAAATTTGAACTTGCAAGTAGAGATGGCCAAAAACCGGTCCCGGGCCGGTCCCAATCGGTCCTCACCATTCTCATAACCGGCCATAACCGGTCCCGGCGTAACC